CAACTAATATATAATACTAATTTATGCCCCAAAAAAAATCTTGAAAATAAGTTTAATTGTAATTAAATTGATCTATTATATCTATTATATTATTAAATTGTAATGATATTTACTTTTGTTCTTCACATTATTTCTTTATATATATTTTTTGAATTATTTATTGCATAGATAACGTCCAGGTATGTTTTATATCTCAAAAGTGATATATTCCACACTCCAATCTGATATTCTTCGCACAATCAATCTCACCATTGTTACACGTTATTAAATTTTTGTTGTATAAACACACACACAGTTCTTCGTGATATGCGAGATTTTCTCATTCAACGAAATAACATTTTATGTGCATGTGTATACACGCGGGTTGTTTGAATTTCTAAATAAACGCCAAACAGTACGAGATATATCCATCGAATATTCGGGTGAGAGGAGAGTTTTCGGAGTGTAATTCGATTTCCTGGAAAAGCGAGATTCCACGTCGACGAGGATATCATTCACGCTCGGTAATAGACCAATGGATTATTTCGTGAGCAAATACAGGCCCCATATATAACTTTCGAAGCTAGATTCTTTGAATTTATTTTTATTTTCGGAATTTTAATTGCAAAAATTATTATTAGTAATACCTAATTACACGCAAAATATGGTAACGTAGATGTTCTTGATGTGAGTGAAATGCATTATGAGCAATGTATTATGATAAGCAAAGTTGATGCAAGCGAATAATTATATGTGAGAAAATTATTTATTTCTGAAAGAATAAATATATAATACACACGACATATCGTTATTTATTTCAAAAATTTCTCAGAACTACATGATATTCTATTTATCTATCTATCATAATATCTCAAAACATTTTTATATATCTAAAGCGCAGAAATCACATAATATATTATCATCGTTAAAGTTTCCGTGATTTTAATCATTTACGAAAGATGAAATACTTTGATAATACCGATATATTGATTGTTTCCGGAGAGCATAAATTTTCGTTAGGGAATGCGAATAGTACACCATCATGACCTAATAGAAATAGTTTTCGGGAAAGTGAAATCCTCTCATAACCCAAGGGGAAGTCAGAAAATCTGGAGCCCGTGTATTCGCGGCCCTCGGATATTCTATAGCTCTGCTAGACCGATATATTCCTCCCGGAAGGGCGAAAACTTATGTCGCATAAACTTCCCTCCAAGACTTATCGTCGCCAAGACGATATGTCGCGATGTGGTGAGGATTCACTGCAATCACAAACGATTTCGCATGTATGTAACTTGTGCAAAATCTAGATCTAGGAAGTTCGATTAAATTTAAAATATACTCCTAATAAATATACAAATTATAATGCTCTCACATAATGTATTGTAAAAACAACTAATGACGTGATAATATTAGAAAAAAGTAAATAATAATAGAAAAAATAATATAATAATAGAAAAAAGTAAAATAATAGATACTAATGCAAATCATATTGAAGAGAACTTATTAATTTGTACAAATATAATTTAAGTCGTTAACATTAAAATAATATAAAATAATATATTTAAGCTGAATTTTAATTCAATATGAATATTTGCAAGTACTTTCAGTGTAACGTATATATTACAATTAAAATAGAATATGATAATGATTAAAAATTCATTACGCATTGTTGACCTTTCGATAAAATCATTACGAGAGATTGATATAATCGAATATACGTAGAATTAACAGTGTGCAATAATATAAATAATAGATATAAGTAATAAATATAAAACAAAATTATCATTTATCATAATTAATAATTATACTGCTTTAATTTCGATTATATAATTGTATTCAGCTATTAAATTAGATCGTCCTTATAGCAAAATTTTCCAGAATCATCGATTCTTTATAATATCAAAGCTCTCTTCGCTTTAACAATATCTTGTCTTTACATTCAAATTACCTTCTCGTTGGCCGGATAGAATCACAAAAACACCCTTGTTATGGCACAATGCCATCGATATCATCGCACAAGAACACAATCGGAAAATGTGTATGTAGGTACTTATTTTTTTAAGAATTATCGCTTCTCCGCGTTTCTCCGCGGGCGAGTCGGATAAAAAATTCATAGGCATCTTTATAGAGATGTTATCACAAGTCCTCATCTCGCCCTTCATCTCTGACGTACGACGAAAACGACATTTGCTTTGACGTAGAGCGATGCTACAGCGACCACGTCATCGACGATGTCGATAACAAGAGCGATGAGAGATTATATAAGACGCATATCAAAGACTTCCATGATGGACGGCATGAGTACCGAGGAAAAAAGTTATCACCGTAAACCTTGTGGCGATAAACGCGATGGACGAGAAGAGCGTTCGTTCTCGATGTTGTAAATTTTTACGCCATCCGCGTACATCGATCAGCAGCCGCGTGTAACAGCCGGATGGACTCGCAAAAAATCTTTGATTAATGATCCATATGCGTCAGAAAATATTATTCAATCTTAATCTATTTGCAAAATTATCGATTTTAATGCGCGGGAAAATCTTTTGCGTCGCATAAATGTTCGCAAATTTAAATAAAATTACATTTTAAACACTCCGTAAATGCTACATACACATGTATGTGTGTATATTTACACATAGGTATATACCTCCATGTGTAAATAAAAATATTCTGATACTCCGATGATTGGCGAGTTTGATTGGATCGATTTGATATTATTAATGTTATTTAATTCCTGCGATTGATCAAAGGCACTAGAACGCACAAGCTTTAACGAGACGGACGGACGCACTCGTAAATTAAATTAGGTTGAGATTGATGAGACGATACTAAACAGAACGACGTTCCGTAGACTCGACTATGCGCCAATTCAGAGGAGAGTTTGGTCAAAGGGAAGCTCAATTCCTTTCGCAATTCCGAGTTTAAATTTCTCTCGAGACGCTACTCTCAAGCTTTTTGCTCCAGGTATCGGCGTGCAAGTCGAAAACAACATCGAGGCTTTATTGCTTCAAGAAAGTGCATGCTCGTCTTTCAATACTTGCTTTTGAGGTGAAAATCTTACGCAGTAGAAAGGCGATGTTGAGATCGATTCGACGAAAACCGCCTCCTACTCTAACCTCGACTGCAAAATTTATAACGATTAGCGCGATATGGACCTTAATATTAATAGCTTGACCGAAACTTTCTATAATCCCATACAGCACAAAACATTGCAGCTACATCGTGACAATATTCTGTTTTATATGGGAAGCGTCTATCAACAATTCAGTTATAAAAAGGAAACATGTATTTCACAAGGCACCTTTCATGCATATTTGAAGTTTAATCGATCAATCTCCCCCTTTGAACGCGTAAAGCATAGATTATCTTCACGCTGATAATTTCGAACTATTTTAATAAATATGTACTATAATTTATTTATTAATTTCTCACGGTGTTCTAGTAATCTATCTTTTAATTTATATTTTGTAAGATAAATATTTGCATATTTTACAATATCAGAATTTTTAATATTTGCTTAACATTTTCACTTATTATCTGTTACATTTCCTTCTCATTATATACAGCACAACAAGCTCTTTGAAGTGAGTAAAGAAACTAAAAATATAGATGTATATTGTTGAATAATAGTAGAGACGCGTATATATAGCGAATCAGTTTGTTTTAGAAAAAAATAAATATGCAATAATTGCGATCATCACGATATTTTTCTTCTATCTAATAAGCAAGTTGCAAGTCGTTAGTATGCAAACATAGAAATTTTCGCTTGAATTGACTTTTCCTTGATAGAAGTTGAATTGCAAATTATGTTTCTATTTGTGTACCGAGAACTGTTTCTAGTATACCGACAATTTTCAGTTTACGACTAGAACGGTACTCCAAGATAATTTTGCTCCACGCCAAATTCTCGTTATCGATTTCGCTTCAATGTGTTCTTTGCTGTTCATCTACTTCTCTGAAGAGAAGGTTATGTAAGGCACCTCGTTATTTTAAAAGGTATCAATTATATAAAAGCTCCGACTTGTTTGTCTTTGAAAAGACATGTCTTCTTTTCGCGCAAAGAATATTTCCTTGTACATTACTGCAGCATACTTAAAATTTATGAAACAATTTCTCAATGATTATAATGTTTAAACATAAAAATTTTCAAAATAAAATCACAAATCATTAATTTAAAATTATATACAATAATTTATAAATTATGATAATTTATAAATTATGAACTAAACGCTTAAACGTAGAAAACTGTAATTTATTAAATTACTTTAGTATTTTCTTAATATAATTATTTATTATTTCCTCGTCTTAGTAATAAAGCAAATCGAAATATAAAACTCCCGCAATTTTCTTACACTTTTATGTATTGTACTTGTAAACGCACTTGCGTAAATGCAAAAGAAATCGCAAAATGGAATGGACTACGAAATGTGCTTTAATTTATTACGCTGAAAGTAATCTTCTAAGTGTAGCGAGTAAAAGAACACAAATAAATCGTAATTGCTAGTTAACAATAGTGACACGTAATAAAGATATCTAAGTCTTCCTCCCTCTCTCTCTCTCTTTCTCTCTCTCCCTCTCTTGGTGCGCGACAAATGGTATGTAATTAGACAATCCTCGTTTCTTAAACGCGTTCAACGAGATAACATACGAGAATTAATTGCCGGAATAACTTATTGCCTTAGAATCAGTGTAAGTAGCGTTGTTTCGCTACGAACCATTTTAAATGAGTAATCGTTCATTCCTCGTTAATCTCTGATTAAAATCTAATTAGAATATCGTTCGCATACATACATAATTGGAATAATTCTAAATTCCACGAGCATATACATCTATCGACCCGTAATTTATTGTTTCTTTAATATGAGAATAATTTATTGCATCGGATAATACGTTCAATTCTTGTAACACATAAATCACAAAAGTAAAGGCATCGAAAGAAAGAAAATCTTTTATAGTATCTTAATCGCTTAATACAAAAAATTGCAGACATGACGAGCATAGTGAAACAGAAACGGATCCCTTACCGAGAAAGCTTTGAGGAAGACCAGGCATTGTATGATGCCTTCCATCGTGTCCCCGGTTAAACAAAAGGTGCCGTTGAGGTGTCGTCCTTTGCGGCCTATCACGGAGCAGAGATTGGCCTGTACAAAGGCGTTTTGTGATCGTGTGGCCGCCGTGAGAGCCGGATGGTGAGAACGGGAACTCATGAGACGTTCCAGCGAGTCCATGTCTTCTAATTTTTGATATTTTCTCGTTTCGATCTCTCTCGAAATATCGACCGAAAAGGGGTCACGTCGTAGCGTCGGAACATCGAACTCTGAGGTTGAGATTGAACATTAGTCATGGTCTTTTCCCCTTCCTCGTCGCATCGATGAACAAGTCTCGCCTCTCGTCGTCGCGCTAAATCCTCCGGCATGAGAGCTACCACTTGAGTTGATCAGAAAACACTCGCAATCATCGAAAAAGGTTTTGATATATTCACCAAGAGTAACATTATAGACATCAGGAGGGAATATATCGCAGCAATTTAATTTATTCAACGTTTTTTACTCGACATAATTGGATCTTTTTCGCTGAACTTTGTAGATAAAAGTAGCGCTGTTTCAATTCTAGAAAGACATTTCATTAATAGCGGGTCACTTCAAATATGTTCAACTTATTAATTAACAACAACTGCTCCTTAAAGGTCAGGTCAGTTGAACCTTTCTAAACAACTGCAAAATGTAGTAACGTTCCATAGTTTAATTTTATTTAACACACTTGTAGTTATATCTGCCCTTTTCGCCTCCAATCTCGACGAAATGTTTTTGTTATAACATAGCCGTTGCATCAACCGCGACTGTAAGTCGCGATTATAAGTTCATTACAATCTATAGAAACTTTCTGACCGCACGTCAAGATTGAATTACGGGCAGTGCATATACAATCACTGTTAAACGATGTTATCGCTTCTCCTCTCCTTACTTCGAACGTTAGACATGCGGGCACAATATTATATTTTGGAAAACAGTATATCGCTATTTGCACGACAACACCGATTTAGCAAACACGCACGAAAGAAACTTTACTCTCTGTTTATGCGTTGCAATTTCGTGCGGTTGTACTGACATTCAGCGTTAAACGTTCGTCATAAAGTTTGCATTTCACGAGCACATACTGAAAAGTTCGTTGAGTAAATTTGCTTTTCCCTCGCTCCGTATGACTGTCAACCACAATGTCTCAATCAATATCACTTACCGATTTTCAAAAGCGTAACGACGGCCTACTTTTTACTTTTCATTGCACAACGTATATCGTGTTCGTTGTAGCGACCAATTCCACCCGAATAAATCCGTTGCCGAGAATGCTATCGATATTTTTATGTATTCGCAAACAAATCGAACGGTTACGCATTGTCATCGCTTGCACATCCGCACATATCGCGAATAATGAATAATACACCAACCAATCTCGACTCTAACACATCTCGTTAATGAAGGAAATCGTCCGATGAATCCTATCGCTGTATCTTTATCGATTCAGCTTAGTATGTGCTCGCCTTCTATGCCTCATTCGCAAACATTTATGAATGAAATGACACGTTTATCAGCACGTCAAATTGCAAATTGTTGCTTTCGATTGTCGTATCTATGAATTCATCATTCTAAGAACCCGTCGATCTGCTGGTCTATATTTCAGTTGACGTAACAGCTGACAAATCATTATTGATCGCGTTGCCGCCCTGAATCTCCGTAAACATCATGAATCTCCGAGACGAGCGTCTGTTATCACTGTGCGGAACTGTAAATCCATCTTGTGTAGCCATCCATTTGCTCGGGCTGAGTTCGGAATTCTATATCCGTTTGAGGTTCAGCAAAGATCCTTTTCGTTCGCCGTAGCTCGCACAAAGCGGTTCGTTTCCCGAGCTAACACAGATGTTAAACAAATAGATGAAACTATTCGAATCGTAGAAGTATACGCGCGATCTATTGCGGGCAACAGGCGCGAGGCCCTTGAATCTTGCGAGAAATCGAGTATATTTTCTGCGGGGGCGATGTCTCGACAGTCGTCTCCGCCGGGTGATGCGTTTCTATCGCCTGCTGCGGCCCGGTGTAGCGTCTTATTAAATCGCACATCTCATAGCAGAGGAAGCAAATGCCGATAATCAAGAACGTATCCATCTCCCTATTCAATTACCGTAAGTTTGTCAAAGATGTCGTGAGAAATAATATTTCAAGGAATAAAAATCTCAAACGCTTGCTCCAAATCTCTCTCAACGTCGTTTCTACTCTATTTCTTTCTTCATTTAAAACGTCCTACGTTGTCATGGAGCCGTTAAATGCACTTTATATCGCGTCTAGACGTAACAGCGAACGCTGTCACCGTCAGTTTAACGTTGCAACGTTTGCACTTCCGTCCGCGGATATTTCGCTTCGTCGTCGAAGTTTAGTAGGCAGAGAAGCGGGAGGCAGAGAGAGAGAGAGAGAGCAAATGGAGAACGCAATCTGAAGCAAATCCTCGATATTACAGAGGTTTAGCCGTTCGGAATAATGTCAATCACACGCTTTCATCTGCATGAGAAGTGTCGCTCGAGACGCCGGACGTTAACGCGTTATCGCTGCCGATGACAGCCACGTCGTTGATCAAGGACTCGGAAATCGTGCCAATGATCCTACAACTACTATCGCTACGTCTATCAGCGGACATCTCACTGGTGGTCCCACCGTTGTCCCAGCATCCTGCGTTAGCGGGACGTCCCACAAGCTATTCCTTTCGCAAGAGGTGAACGTTGATCTCGCACACGAGGTCGCTGAAGCGCGCGCTTCAGATACGATGGCAGCTCGTTGCCACAAACGGAAACGATCGAGAGGGAGCCACGTAGTTGTGTTGCAAGGTGGTCACAGAAACAAAACATGGGCCATGTGAGCAACCGTCCACCGGACGTTATTACGACGTACAACCGTTACTTTAACCGCATTGATATGCCACTAAGAGACGCGTACTCGGTTGCGGGAAACAATCGCACGGGAATCACACGACACGCTTTTCGCGCCTTTCACGTTCGTCCTTCGATGAATAAACGATGAACAAACAAGATGCGAGATCCGATCGATGAGATCTCATTCCCCGCCGGATCCTTCGCGAGCACGCCTCGATCCGATCGAGATAGATCGCGATGAACGCATGCAATGTAAACGCAACTCGCTGGGAACGAGAGCAGCGCAGTTATATCAGCGGGCTCGCAACGGGCCAGCGTATGACTAGCAGATACTCTCAGCGTGAGGGTGCGCCTTTACAAGAGAGAGGGTGGGCGGGTGGAAACGAGGGATGCTGGGCGACGGCGCGGCCCGCGGCGCCACCCTCGACCCCTGCCGCGCGCGGCGTTCTCGCAAAATCCACCGGCTACCCCCTCCTTTCTCCCTTCGCCCCCCCGTGTCCTCACGCGCGAACACTCGCCCCCTCGTCACCTCTTAGCCGCCCTGGTCCGCGGGGCGCTATTCGCCGTTTCACCCCGGCTATACTGCCGACCGACGTCGGTCTTATTCTTCGTCATCCCTCTTCTTGCGCTTCTTACGCTCCCTCTTTCCCTTCAACTCCGAAACTCTTTTGCTTCCTCCCATGCTTTATCGCGTTCTTTTATCGCATTCTTTATTCCTCGTGTCATTCGCGTGTAAGTCGCGAACGCTTCGCGTTTCTTCATCGCGTATCTTCCGCCTTGCATCGTTGATCCGGCAACAAGCCAGCGGCGATTTTTACGCCAGATCGGATATATTCAAGAGGGTGAATGCGCTTGTGCCGTCCGACTGACGATCGCGTTAATGCATCATCCGATATTTCTTAAGAAATGTTTGAAAAAGGGTGGTTTATTCTCCATTGGCGGATGATTCTAATAGATATGAACTTATAGAAAATAGAAAGATTACAATCACGAAGATTATCACCAAAATTGATGTAGAATAAAAGACTGTATTATATCATATTTAAATGGTTCAAGTGCGCATTATTCACATACTGAACATACTATTCTTGCACTGGAACTTGTTGACCCACGAAATCAAAATCGAAATCCGAGCGAAATCTTATACACGTCTGGCTTGCAAATTGCATTCTTATTACGAATGGAATTTCGAGTTTTCGATGATCGTGTATGATTCGAGCTACTGCATCGCGGTACAATGGTTGGCTTTCATTCCGAAATCTCCGTTCTATAACTCGAGATCGCTTATTCTCTTTTTGTTCACTTGTCCCATTTTCCTCAAGATTCTTTATTGATTTCTCTATCGCAATTCCTATAGAATTATTTTAAATCGACGTATTTTTCTTCTTATAGAATTTCTTCTATCTCTTTTCTTTGTCATTTATTGCGCGCGCGCGTATACCACATACAGAGCTGTCTGACCTATTTCATTCTCTTCTACTAACTTTTCCGCACTCAACAATTCATTCATTCAATATAAATTAATTAATCTTTAACTGTATTTACATCTATTATCTTTAAATTCGTTGAAATGTAAACATTTTACGCTGTTTCATAATCTGTTATTTAATAATTCTTTCTCGAGTCTTTTTTTTATTTTGTTTTATTCCGGAATTATTAACTGTTTATATTATGCTTTTTATATAATTAAATTTATATATTTTTAATACAGATGTTACTCGAATGCATGATATGCGCAAATATATTTCTGATCTCAAATCAAACGGGAACAGTAAGAACGTTAACCTCTTAAGCTTTTGTCAAGCCGCGTAGTGAGGTAAATGGCCCATATATCCTTAACGAACTTTCGCGAGCACCGACCGACTTCGTGCATCATGACCGGGGAATTTACGACGGATATCCCGCGAGATTAGGTGCGCCAGGTCGACAAATTGTGAGTTTGCATTTACGGTACATACCATCGGCACAACTGTTCACCTCAAGTTTGTCGCTGGTTTAATTGGCTTTAATAAAGTTCGGGGAGTCACGCCGGAGAAGTCGCGAAATTAACGATTGCGGTCCGTTGCGCGAGGTGCTAAGCGGTTAAAGAATCTTTTCCAAAGAGAATTTTTTCATCCTGAGATCCCGTCACATGGCCAACGTTTGTTCCTTACTACACAAAGGGATAGTCTCAAGAGTGATCTAAGAGAGAGAGAGAGAGAAAGAGAGGGAGGGAGGAAGAGAGAAAGACAGAGAAAGAAGGTAATCGAGAAGCGAGTTTAATATCATCATTTAACCGCTTAGAGTTCAACTTTTTTTTTAAATATAATCACCAAAAGATTTTAAACACAAAACGTTTAAATTTGAAGGAACAATATGAACATTTACTCTTCTTGAATACATGAAAAATGGGTCGACATTATCTGCGAATGGCTTGGTTCACGAGACTTGGATTATTTAGATTGCTCTCTACCATCTTACGTTTACACAAAGAAGTAAACGGCGAAAAGTATAGTACAACGACAATATGAAAATGGCGCGTTGATTGCTTTATGTTTGTTGTATCCGGTAACGCAATTTAAAGTCGCAGTAAATCACCGGGCACAGCTCATCTGGAAAATGCCGTGCCTGTGATACGGTTATTTCATTTGGAAAACGACTTGAAGATTTACGCAGATCCCATTTCGTATTCCAAGGCTATCGTTCAAGGCGTGAATTTACGGATAAACACGTCACGTTTGTCGTGGGCAACGACCCTTTCTTGAATCTGAACTATGTTGGAGCATCGTAATCGCAGGTAAACTGTAGGGGTCAGTGCTTTACACGCTATCAACAAATCGATAATTGGTGTCTGTTAAAAGCAGATAAGGTCATCAGTGTCGCGCTCTCCTAACAACTTCCATCTAATAGCCTCCATATTTCCGGCGATATGATTACTTTTTTCGATAGTAGAGGATTTATGCGAGCAAATGTGTTTGATCAAATCTCCATCTTGCCCTAATTATTTCAGACACTCATTAAATATACGAAGATACATTACCTTATGCATTTATCTTTATGCATTTGCAAATTTCCTAGCACAAATTTCGCAGTAATGGAAAATCGATTATACGTAAATCACTTTACAGTGCACATTTTATATATGGTTTCATGTTAAGAATATTAACTTCTTCCTCCCACATGTATGATAACCGTATATATATATATATGTGTGTGTGTGTGTGCGTGTGCGTGTGTGTGTGTGTGTGTACACATGCACACATACATAGTCTTGATATATATTTGATTTCAATATAAGCTAGTTCTATTCGCGAACGTACGTTCATGTCTAGTAGACAGCCTTTTCCGTTTTATTTTTTTTTTTTTATCAAACGCTGTTTGAGGCAGGCATGTAAAACTCGTTGCAAAATTCTTTTCTCGGAATAGAGGCGCCCCCATCTTTACGAAAAGCATATTGTATCCCGCGGCATGAATTCAGATTCAATTCCTCTTTCATTCGACACCGCTTCCTCCGAACCAATACGATGAAAGTTTCTTCGCTGTGTTGGACATAGAGATTTGTTGAGGGGCGCAGCGTGTCGTCGAAATGTACGTAGTTCGTAACTGAAATGGTTTTTTAGAATATTATGCAGATAGCGAATACGGATATGCGCGTAATATAAGTTTTACATCACATTACAACAACAAATGGTGCTGCTTTATTGGCTAAAACAGTGCACCGAATAAAAGGATAATTAATTATGAGAACAAAAGCTTATTCGAGTCGGATCGATAGAAAACGGCACACATAAATATAGTGCTCTACTATATACTATTCTGTTCTTTATGGTCTTCGTTCATTGTATCATCATTGAATTTGTGAAAATAATTTATTATCAGGAATAATAACGTTGTATTTCGAAGTCCTCTATATGTTTTTATTCTATAAAATTCATTTTTTTTAATGAATTACTTTTTTTTCCTGCTTAAAATAAAATGCTAAAGTAATTTTAATAAAGTACTACATGTATTAAAATACTTTTAATTTAATGACTGAGTGAATATATACTTGATATGATATGAACATTATATAATTCGGATTGATTAAATCAATTGCCACATGGAGTCTCTGATCAACCGTTTGCTGATTAGATAGACGCAATTGATGTTCAATCTTGACCCAAATGTGCCAATCTATTATGCCATGCACTGAGATGCGTATATATCGCCATTAAACTGATATATCAAAATGAACATTTTATTATGAAATTATTATGAAATTTCTACGACGAAGGACAATGTTGACAAAGTTTAAGAATAATTAATTTTTATCCTTTCAATTTTTACCCTGTATGCATTAAGACTAGCTAATCCATCACGAAATGAAATCAGCATATCTAACTAAAACGATTTCACCAATAACTGCGGTAGAGATTGCCAAGGCTATAAGAAAGACACATTTGATATATATGCACGAAAATGCATCTTTACCTGCGCGTGCGCGACCACATGCACATAGCCCGTTCAACTATTGATATATTCCGACATTTACGACTTTAAGTTACTTCGCTTAATATATGATAGGACTTAGATTATAAATTCCCTTACTTCCGAATATGTATACGCCGAAAGGGGTTTTAGCTGATCGTAGCCTTAAGTAATTTTGCTACGTATTACATATTTATTTGCTTTATTAATGTGATGAAAAAATTCCAAATATGACGGACAACAAATTGATCGAAAGTTTGGAATTTTATTCGTTACTAAAATTCATTATTTGGTCATATGCTGCATTATATTCACATTTTGACCACAAATGATATAATTTTATATGCGGCGTACAATAACTGAGTATAAACTTCATTAAATGATTCATATTTCTGCATTAAAGAAATATATATTTTACATAAACCTGTACATTATCGACAAATATAAATTGTAAAGTAATATCAAATATAGAAATTTTAATAATAGAGCTCGATGCGTACGAAAATATTAAACAAGTTGGAAAATGAGTAATAATTTGAATATTATGATTTAAAAGATATTAATTTTTTATATCGCACGAAAAAAAATAATATTTATATAAGCATAATATGTACCACGATATATATTTATATGTAAATTGCAATTGCAAAATGTAATTTATGCATATGTATTTACGCATATATGTATATTTATGCATATATATAATCACATATGCGAATACGATTAAAGCTATCAAATTAAACTATAAGATAAATCGAGAGAAATTTTCTCGATGAACAAAGACAGGAAATCTGCATTACATTTATTAAGCTTAATCAGCATAATCCGTATTACATTCATTAGACAAAAATAAATAATAGAGCATTGTCAACTATAAAGATGTATTCTTAGGTATAACTACATAAGAAAAAATATATCTCATATATATTTAACAACACAGATAAAATAAAATATACATTTTTATTAATAAAAAAAGTTAGAATAATATTCTTATCAATTTCTTATCTTGATGATAGTGAAAAATATGTGAGAATATAAAAAAAAAAAATATATATATATATCTTGACTAATTAGAAACTCTAACAAATATCGTAATCGAAACAATATGTCTTTTTTCTATTTAAACTCTTTTTTTTCGTGAGACAGACTTAAGACAAATTGCGCGACGTTCTATTACGCGCAATTTTTTTTCTGCCAATGAAAAAGAATCGACAGATTCTTTTCTTTTTTTTCCAACGTCGCAGCAATATTAAATCAAGATATTTGCTCCCGCTTGTGAAAAGTATAGTCACTATCGAGTGCATCTGTTATTTCTCTTCTCGTTTTCACCAGATGCTATTTTCTGCATTGCAATATTTGATAGCAACTACGATTGAATTTTTCAATCAAAATAATAAAGTGTATATAAAATTAGGCCAGGCGTTCTATTAAAATGCATTTCTCATACAAAGAAAAACTTATTCATATTAAATTATACAATTTCCATATAAATGACAAATATTTTATTAAAATGCCAATCACGACAGGAATAATAACAATAGCATAATACTCTTGTACAATAAAATTTAAAAACAAAATTAATATATTGAGAAAATTAGAATATTTTTGCTTTTTTCATATTTTTTATAAAAAATTAATTTTATCAATAATGCAATTATTTAATATAACAATATTAATAAAATAACAAAAAATATACTTATATGTGAGGTTTATTATTATGGCTCTTAGGTGCTATTTCTTTTTGATTTTTTGATTTTTTGTTTATTATTTTCCATTTAACTAATAAAAACTGAACATATAAGAGAGAATTTTAAAATTATTGTTAACCGGCAAGGCAATACATACGTAATAATTAATATCGCTAAAATAGTCACGAGAAAATAATGAGAAAAACGCAAACTCGGAAATATGTAAGCGAGCGTAGTTATATTTACGAAAAATGCGGAAAGAAATGGTCTCGACGTACGACAATAGCGAAAACACTCATAGAAGTCTAACAACAGGAGGAGATGCTCACCATCAAGGTGTTACGGGTTGCCGAGTTTTCTCCGTTAAGCATGAACTGATTTTCCTTGTCCAACTTTTCGCCTTGGTGCCTTTTCCGTGCTTCTACTATCCAACCGTGTTCCTCTCGACATGGAGCGTTGCGGCAACGGTGTCCTTTGAATTTTGAAAGCGCGAGACGCGCCGCGCCGCGGGGAAATCTCATTTTCCGCGGACCCTCGCACTCTGAGAAGCCGGTGCCACCGGAAAGGTCGGAAGATTTATTATGCACTTTCTTCTTCTGCAGGTAGAACGTGTATCCCGATGTTACACAGCGCACGTCAGCAAGATCTGACTTAACCAGTGTGGCACGGCCTCGAGAACTCGATTCCGTAAGAAAAGGATGGTGGACACACTCTCCGCGATCCCGTTTTGAGAATACGTGTGTGTGCGCACGGATATAACATCCGACAATATAATAAATGATTTCCCATAGCCAAGAATCATTTTTGGTTACAAATAGCATGTGCATCCAATAATACGGTTATTTGAGTTTTCATATGTTGCGATGCATAAAAATGCGCAATAGTATATTGTCGTATACAATGGATACGATAATTTAGAGAGAATCAAGTACGAAATTACATTCGTGCTCGGAGTAAGTGAATAATACATTTTTGGACCGTCGTCCAAATCCCAGTTATTTGTTAGCGTAAAACATCCATTAAGCAAATCATATATTTAGAAAATTATTGCATTAAACTATTCAACAATTGTTTTTAATAACGTGTTACAATTGCAAATCGCATCGTTAATGACTCTTTTTCCGCTTAAAATATTAACACGTCGTAAGATATTCTTGTCAAAGAAATAAATTGTGTAATAATAGAATAGAATCGATAAATGACAATTCAAAAATTCGCGAAACACCATCAATCTTATAACTTATATTGGACGTAAATGGTTTAGCTAATGAATGTGAAGGAAGCATCATAAAATATTAAGATACTTTGCAAATTAAAGATATTCAATCATTTAATCAATATTTTTAATGTATTATGTGACTGTATTCTTTATGTTACATGAAAAATAAAAAATCATGTATGTATAAAAAGCGTATATATTTAAATTATATGTGTGTGTGTAATTAAATATAAAAAAATATTCTTTTCTCATAGATACTAGCGCAATTACAATAGAAACTTGCGACAATAACTTGAGCAATGCAAATTGCAACGGCACAAAATGATAGAAAATATGAAAATTGCGAGGCAAGTTAAGTTCTACAGAATAAAAAGATAGAACTTCGAAGAACGTGTACTTCGCAACTCGCGATGAATGTAACGAAAGAACTATTTCGCTTAAAAGTATTTTTCCTTGTCTCTGGAAGGTAATCGTGTCGAGGTAACTTCAGTTTCGTCAGTAGAGTTTGATGCGAAATTAGCGCGAAGCACGACGGAAATAGTATCTGCAAAATGTTATTAAAGCACTTGACGTAATAGCGCCGTCATTAAACTTCCTCATTTGTTACAATAAAGCTACCGATGACGAAAGTACGATTGATTGTCGTGAACACGGTAAGGTACGGCGAATGGAAAACGTTATTGTAAAGTTGGAACGAATTGAAACATTATGTAATGACAGACTCTTCGCTTGGATCAAACCGTTCTCATAGCGAAGAGATTATGTCCCTTTCTGCTTTTATCCCGAGATAGAAACATACAAATCATCAATGAAGACGTTATCCTTTTATCCTTTCATAAAGGATATGACAGCGCAGCTTTTTTCTTCAGACATCACGGCGACTGAGCTTTAATGAAAGTGTATTTGTATGTATATGTGTAAGTATATATATATATGCTTTTGTTATATTACATTTGCTCTTTAGCTTCTTATCGAATAACGTCAAATAAAAAAGTATGTAGGGGATAAGAGAAGACAAAGATAAAACAACAATACAGATAAAATGTGAAAGAGTCGAAACAATAGGGATACTATTTAGATTTTCCCAGAGAAGAGATAGAATATGATAGAATAACGTTCCAGTATAAAAAATTTCGAGTTGATAATTTACTCACGCACAAATTTGAATAATAACCGGCTAAAAGAACTCGCTGAATACATACCTGAAACAAAAATAATATTAAAAATATTAATTAAGTAATCAATAATTTTAATTAAATTAGTAAAAAATTATAGAATTAAACATTTATGCACTTGAAATATATTTTATCTAAATAAACTTTCAAATACGCACAAGAATCTGTGACAATTTTTAAAAAATCACAAGATTAAAATGCAATATAAACGATAAAATTCAAAATAAACGTGAAAAGTTTATTAGAATTTTTGTCATTAAAAACCTGAAATCCTTGACACGTGAAATACATAAAAGGAACATTAAAGTGAACAAATGTATTTTCTTGTAATATGAGATTTTCAACTTATCGTGCCTGTGTTTTCAACTTATCGAGATCCTGTAAAGACTTGAAATCACGTGTTATTTCCCAAGATTTTTGTCTCATGAAATTCACTGGTATCTATACTACTACTATGTTAAAAAAGATAGAAAGAAAGAGAGACCGAAAGAAATAAAGTTTAAGAAAATGGAAGAGAATGGAATGGAGAATGGAGAATGGAATTCGATAAATAATTATAAAAAAATTAATTTAAACCCTATATTCCTATAAATAATTAATTATAAATTTATTAATTGATTAATTAATTTATCAAATGATTAATTGATTATTAATTGATTAATTTACAATTTCTAAATCTTGGAAAATAGAGTATATCAATCAGAAATATTATAACTTTCTCTCTCGAATTTAAGATTCATTTACAATATTCGATTATTTTTTAATCACATAAAATATATATCATTCAATTAAATGATTAGATTATCGAAATAAATAATTTTTTATTTGTTGTTGATTTGTTATGTTTGATTGAAGTTTTGAAATTGTAATTTATTAGATTTCACTTTACAACAACAAAAAGATACGATATAAATGATATGAGGTTTGAGAGTTCAGGTATACGTATTTGTATTGTAAATTTGCCTGCATCACTTAAATTGCTTTCTCTGGCTCTTGAACACCGCGGATATAAATCGCTTGCCTGGTAGCGAAACTTCTTGCGATAATATTTTATTTTGTGTTTTTTTTTCTTCGCTATATGTGTTCAGCTTCGCCATTTGCAAAGATTACTTTGATCGTAACATATCTATACATATCTAAGAAACTTTGACGTTGTCGAATTTTTTTACGAAAAATTAGCCTTGTCGAATTGTGTGTGTGTTTATGTGTTGTATGTGTGTGAAAGATATATATAAAAAATATTACGAAAATAAAACTTTTTATATTCTGTTTGTGCATCAAACTTTATCCTCTGATATTGATGGTGTGTATATATATATATATATATATATATATATATACAATACAATACGTATACCTGAACTCTTAAACCTCATATCATTTATATCTTGTTGTTCTCATAAAGTGAAATCTAATAAATTTCAATTTCGAAACTTTAATCAAACATAACTCAACGACAAATAAAAAATTATTTACAAAATTTCGTATATATATAAAATTTTGTTTATATATTTTTCTCTCCTTATACAATTTCAGCCATTGTTGGCATTCTCATTTTCCGAATAGCCTCAAAGCGATTCTAAAAGCAACCACAAAGAAACCGCACGAAACTAAATCAGATATCCGGAAGAGGATTGCATAGGGCTTGTTTAGTAACCTATGCGTCAAAAGAAAAGAGAAAATCGTATATTATATCGAGAATAAGACATGTATTCACATGCATATGATGTGGTCTACCTTGTCTATTTTTTTAAGCTTTTTTTAACTTCCGTTTTATGTGTCAGAGCTATTCAGTAGAAACACGATATATCACAATCGCGGATCCGAGCGTGGATCTCATGCTAATCGTTATAAGAGTAAACAAATACATTATTCGGATTTTATTCCTATTTTTTTTAGGAATTTTTGATAAAATATGTAGCTGGTGCATTGTCTATTCAAACAATATTTTTACATTCATCTAATTAAAATATTGTTATGATTGCGGACAAAACAGTCTCATTAATCTAATATTTTAATTTTGCAATACGTAATAATACATATTTACATCACTAATTATTTATGTAGATAATTTTAGAAAAATGTTAAAAACACACAAATTTTTCAATTACATATATCTAATAGTTATGTACTAAAAGGATATTTTTTTAATTTACGTTTCTTCATCTAAATGATAAAGAACGGTCATTAATTTTAAGGATCTGAAATAACGAAATTAATAAAAAAAAATCGCTTTTATTGATATTTCAATTTATTGATATTTATTGATATTTATTGATATTTCAAAATATTATTTTAAAATCATTAGAAATCTCTTTCTATCCGAAATAGGTCAACTTTTGTAAAATTTTCTAGTGATCTCTCAAATGATTTTCCACTCACTGTGCAACTACCGTGTAAAATGAAGGTAACGGAGCTCTATATTCCGTCGTAACCATCCTTAACTTTCAATCCCGACAAGTTTGTCCAGCGTATGTCCCCGAAGGCGTCGAGCTCCAGGACGATGGTGAACAAGTGAGTTTAGCGGAGTCGGTTAACTTCCACGCCGACCGGTGATTGTATCAGGTCAAACCATTTAACGGCTATCTCTCTCTCTCTCTCTTTCTCCCTCTCTCTCTTTCTCTTTCTTTCTCTCTTCCTCGGAAGTTGTTCACTCCCTTAGTTAAAATTGTCTGCCAAACGATCGCTAAAATGTGCGCCGGCTGCGATGACACGACACGACAACGAAAGTCGGAACGAGTATGGGATTAAAAGGAAGATTGCGCTAGTCAATATGTATCACAAGCTCGTCTTCGAGCCGGACGCAATTTATTACGGCTCGATAGGCTTGACAGGACGTGGTATAATGAGAGACGGAAGGAGACGACGGACGATAGAAAATGCGCTCTAAAGAGAGAACTTATCGGCGATATTTAAGTCAGTTATCTTATTATCAGTTACTCTTGCTCTGCGCGCACGGAGTTAATATCTCCAATTAACTATAAAGTTTTTAATATTAAATTACGCGATGAATGCTGACTTTTATCATTGTAATGAACTAATCGATCACATCATGATCAATATATGCGATTTATAGGAAATAGCACGTCGATTCATTTAACATAATTAATTTAATCAGAGTAAGCGCTTTTTTAATTGGTTTTTGTACAAACATTTTGTACAAACATTTTGTGATAATATTATTTTGCGTTACTCGTGTTGCCTTGCATAAATATTTTAGATATTTTTAGTTAACTAAATATTAAAATTTTTATTTTACATTATATATGTATATATATTAAAGATTAATTAAAATAAAAAATCTTGATACAATATATATGTTAATAACTTTTGATCTAAATCAACTTTTATAACTTATACTTCAACAGTTATTACGATTGTATATTTTTGTATTAAAATTTTCGATTCTAATCTTTAGAATATATTGTTTTTCAAATATTGTATAATATACTACATTTTCATATATACAGATCATGCTTTTTCTCAGTAACTGAAAAATTAATCACAGATGAAATCTAAAGTCTGTATATAAATATAAATATATACATATATATGTGTATAAATGTGCGAAATCATATAGCAACTTAAATATAACTGATTATTTTGC